GGATTGTAGGTGGGTTCCCTTGTGTTGTTTACGAAAGTACCGGAACCTTCGACAAGATGCCCAGCTGGCGCTGAAGTTCCAGCCGTTTCCTAAAAATAGAAAGGGAAAAATATTCTGATTAGAGAGATGTACAATCGAAGGTGATCATCGACACTTAAGTTAAAAGTGGTCGGAGGCATTACATGTACAGGAACCTCAGCCCCAGGGCTGGAGTTGTCGCTCTCAACAGGATTACTGAGCAAGACATTTAGGTCCTCCTCCGTGGGTTCTTTGATGATCACAGGGGGTGGCCTGGGTTTATTCCCTGTGACTTTAGTTCTCATCACAGGTCGAGGTTCAGGGGCAGGGGCAGCCTTTTTCAGCCTTTTCCGTTTGAGAGGAACAGGAGGAGATTCCTCCTCTTCGCCACTCGAAGTTTCGACCGTTAATATGGGTCGCTTCTTCGGCGCAAGCTCCTGAAAATCCCAAACAGAGTCGATTTAAAACACAGCATCGGAAACCAGGATGTTTAAAACCAAAGAGGGAAACAAGAAAAAATTGTTACCTGTACTAGAGGTTTTGCAGAGGAACCTCTACCCTGATTGTTGTCTGTGGCCTTCTTAGCCACCGGTTTTCGAACAACTGAAAGAAAAACGTTCACAAGTTATATTTGGCAGATATAAGTTGAAATGGAAAGACAAATATAATTTTAAGAGGGAACGTACATTTCTTTATTTTATCAAGGACCATGACGAAGGACTTCTTGAGTTCGTCTGCAAAGTCCTTCTCATCGAGGAACTCTTCGACGTAATATCTCTTCCACCAGTCTTCAAAAGCTGGTGAACAGAGGAAGTTGAGTTGGTAGTCGAACAATGATAGTACGGTCCGACCAACGTACCTACTAATATGCCTAGTAGCAGCATCTTCAGAGTAGTCATTAGAAAAGAACAACAATGATTTCTCCCGAGGATAAATTGGAGAAAGAAGCGATTGGATAATACCAAATTATCGAGAGACAAGATTCGGCTGGTAGGCAATCAGGCTCAGCTGATTCTTTGAACTCTTGAAACGCAACGACATTATCCTTGGAGTGAGAAACGCTTCCCACATTGTTGTATGCTCTTCGAAGTGAGGATCCTCTAGTGATTTAGGATGGGGCCTGGTAAACCATCCTGGACCACACTTCCGACCAGCGAAAGGGGCCATGGTCGAAGTAAATTCCTTCCTCCCCGCAAACATCTGAACGAAGTTTGCGAAGGTCTTTTGTAGTTCCAGCCCATCCTCAGTAGGAGTCAATAAGGCAAGCCTGGTGCCTTCGACGCGCCTTCTAGCTATCTCAGGAGCCTGTTCATTTATTTGAGTCTTCTGGGGTAGAAAAGACTCGAAAGTGGCATTCAACCAGAATTGAAGTAGCCTGAAGGGACCAGCAAGCAGCAGGCTGGCTCTAATTTTTATTACTTTTAATTGAGTCGCTCCACTGCTTATCGACTCATACAAGTTCGCCAATATTAATTCGGCCAAACAGATGTTTTGGCCGTGATGAAGTTGAGTAGCGAGGGTAACCATCTTCTTCGTCACTTGTAGGGATTTCGTGTAGAACACGAAGCGCGACAGCCATAGGGCTAGAAACGCGATGTGCTCCACATCAGTCACCACAGTCATCGATTTGTCGTGGTAATGGTTGGTGTAAGTGGTGTAGGTGAGTTTGGTAGCAGAAAACCCAATCTGGTCTTCAGACATTTCCTCTGGGTCGAAGTAGTCCCCAGTTGGTCAAAGACCAGTAATGGCGGCCACATCGAAGAGGGTGGGCGTAACCATTCCACAAGGCAAGTGGAAGGTATAGTGAGTGTAGTCCCAAAACAGCAATGAAGCTACCAGCATGTCAGGACAATAGTTAAGGCCAGTTTTGGACAACATGACCAGGTCATAAAATGCCCATGCCTTTCCAAATCGAAGCCTGGCACTTCTCCATCTTAAGGAGCCAAGCGGTATATTCTGGTGTAAGACTAGGGCTAGATCGAAAAGCCCTAATCCCCATGTTAAAAAACCGAAGATCTAATTTCTCTTTCGCAGGATCTTCAGTATCATCTTTTGCTTTCTTTGAGCACCCAATAGGTTTGAGTGCCGCATGCGCGGGGAAGAAACCCTCAATTTTTGTGGGGTCAGTAATGCATGTTGAAAGAGGGCCTGACATGGCAAAAACCTGGTTGGAATATCCAACGGGAATCAATAGTTGAGAGCCATAGGTTTCGCGTTCAGCCTCACCCATGGGTTCAGGAACCCTTCGCATTCCCATAGAATTAACTATCGGAGCGGTTGAGAAAGTTTCTGGTTGAGCAGTCTTGGAGAGATTGCTAGCTCTTGGGGCATTGGGAGCACGAGTGCGTGAAGCCATTTTTTGGTTTGAGATGAGGGTGGATGAAGAATAAAGACTATTAGGATTGGAGAGGAAGAAGCAAAGGTTTGTTTGTAGAAAATTTCGTTCGATCGAAGGTTTGGATGCAAGAAAGCGTAAAGAGTCCAACTGAGGCACTTAGTGCTATTTATAGTGATTGAAAAAATCACAGGGCTTGAGGTCATTTAATGCCACAGACGGGAGCGGGGCACGTGGCACGTATTTGGCGTTGTAATCGTTCTGAAAAACGGAAACGTTGCAGCATGCTTCCTCGATTTCAGAGAATGGTCATGATGACAGCGTGTGAAAGGCCATCGTGCGTGCGAGGTGCCTTATTGAAGTGACGTCTTGGGAAAAGTTGAAATGATGATTTTTTGAGATTGTCAGATGGTTGGTAGGAGACGAAAAGCACACAAACTAATTTGTGGCTGAGAGTGAAGGACAGGTGTCGAGTGGAATATCAAAGAATGCCTTTTTCTTCTAAGCGTCGAAATAAGACATTCTTGGGGGGCAATTTGTTGGCTCCTAAATTCGACACCCACATTCTATTATCATATAGATCATTAATTATGAGTCAGAAGAGTTTCCTACACAAGAGGGCTTCGATCAGCTGGTCATATCGAAGGCTCATCAAAGAATGATAACATACTTAGAGAAATTCCTCTAAGTTAGAATCATGTTGTCTTTGATGTCGAAGGAGCAACCTTTCGACCAAGATCCCTGATGCCCAAGATCGAACGGTTTGAATTTTGAATTGTTGGAGGGAAAACGGTTCCCAGCAGTTACCAAGCGCAACGTGTCGTGCACGTAGGCATCGAAGGTTATGAGCATGCCATGTGGTGTCATCATGAAGCGGTGTGACTGCCCAACAGTTACTTAGGATTTTTTTAGTATAAATACTAAGTGTTCACGAAGTTATTAGGGTGTTCATCATTGTATACAAGTCACTCATTTAGATTCAAGTACCCAACGTGAGAGAAAGAATCATTGAGAATGTATGTGTGAAACACCATTTACTTTAATCAAAGTCTTTTACATTCAAGCAATTTATCGTTTTCACTCATTTACTTCAGTCGAAGTCATTTATTTAACAACCCTTTAATGCTTTTATTTACTTTATCAAGCTCGTCTCCATGCAATTTATTTAAAGTGTCTCTACTTTACTTGCATTAATCACCATTAGGATTAGTCGAAACTCTTTATTTCAAAGCCTTTAAACTCCAAAAATCAACCATGTCTTAGGATCAATCTGATCGATCCTGCGAGTCACCAAATAAGTAACCTTTTGGAAGATCAGCGGTTGTTTACCATTTTTCACGGCAAACACCTGCACACTGCTGACAATAATTTCCATAGCCAATATTAAGTTAAAAACAACTTTTTTCACATTTGTTATTAATGTTTCTTTCTTATTCATTTTCAGGGATGTATCCTTGTCTACTTTCACCGCATACACAGGTTTGATCATGTGCGAGGGTATACTGAAGATTACCCACGTGCTTGACTGTTTTGACAGTGCAGAGGGAATGATGTCGTGGTATTATTTCTTGTGTATATGGATGTCCACATAGATCTGCTCATGAGGAGACCCTAGAGAATGAGCAGATCATAGATGACCATATCGTTGATGTGTTTTTAATCTGTTAAAATGTTATGCAAATTACGTGAAAGGGCATAAAGTCAGGACTGTTCGAGAGAGGTGGCAATGACGCGGTTTCTCTAGCACATTCTCTTCTGACTGAGGCATGAAATGCCCTGAGTTACCATTAATAGAGGACAAGCTAGGGGTTAGGATTAGACATACTCAGTAGATTATGTATCTGATTGTACTTTGGGATGTTTTGATATTTTTTCTATAGTTTGCGAACAATTTATGTACTATGATTTTTTTTATTTTATAATTAAAGCATTACTCTGTTCAATGATAGTCGTGTTTATTAATCTTTGAATCAAATAATGGCAATGTTACTCGAATTAAAATAATTGTATTAAAAAAATTACAAACTTAGAACAATGTTTCTTACAAGATACATGCAGGCAAGACTTCAGAGATACATTTTTGAATTTACTCTAAAAATATTTGCAAATACATCTACGAGTTATTTTTTTCAAAGTAGAGTGATTGTTTGATTTACGAATAAAGAAATATAATTTCAGAGATGTATTTGCATATTTACCTCAAAAATTCACAATTATATCACTGAATTAAATTTTGATAAAAAATAAAACTTAATATATTTAAAGATATATTTTGAAATAAATCCAAAAATATTTTGAAAATTTTCAGATATGCTTGTCATCTCACCCCACGCACACTATAAAGGAAAAGAAATAGCCAAATTTCATTTAAATCATATTCATCTATTAATAATTCTGTTTAGTTATATAGAATAAATATATTATTAGAAACGACAATAACAAAACACATAGGTGCGTGTGTGGAGTTTAGTGTTGAAAGTTTAGGTCATGAGGGGTGTACTCCCCTAAAGAACTTATTATCTAGATCTCATCCTCCATAACCACATCACTCCAAACACTCGTTGTTGCTTCATCATTTGAATCTTTCATTGTTCGAATCGAATCTCTTCTGTTTCATCAATCTGTGTGTAACTGTGAGACAGTGGGAATGGGTGATGATCCAGGAGGAAAGCATAGAATCTTGATGGTTTCAGATTTTTTCTATCCCAACTTTGGTGGCGTCGAGAATCACATTTATTATCTCTCACAATGTTTACTCAACTTAGGACATAAGGTTCATTTATCTCTTAATTATTGTTATATTTCCATTTTTAACATTCCATTTTTGATTCCACTTTCCCTTTTCTATCTAAACATATATCGCTAACTTATTAGGTAATTAGCTCTCTAACGGTTTAATTAACTAACTTATTAAGTTTTGTAGCTTTTTTTTGTTACTTATTAGGGATTTGGAAGAGCTTATTTTTATAAGTCCTTCTAGATAGCTTATTGTCATAAACTACTTAAATTTATTTTACCTTAAACTACTTAAACTTATTTTAGCTTTTGCTGTAAAAATAGCTTATACAAGCTTATCCATAAGCGCTTATTTTTATAAGCACTTGTGTTATAAGCGGCAAATAAGCTAAGCTGTTTATCTAAATAGACCCAAGTGTTTTTGTTTATAGATAAGTTCAAATAAGTCAATCCAAACAGCCCCTAGATGCACCATGTAATAACAATTTACATTTTTTTTATTCCTACACATAACGATTTAATGGTGTGATTCAAAGATTCAACTTGACACATTCGGAAAAGACTAGTTGTTGTTAGTTATGGTGAGGTTGTTTGTAATGATGTGAAATTCAATGAAATAATTCAGGTGGTGGTTGCAACTCACGCGTATGGAAATCGGTCCGGGGTTAGATATATGACTGGTGGTCTGAAAGTATACTATGTTCCTTGGAGACCATTTGTTATGCAGAATACGTTCCCGACCATCTACGGGTTATTACCAATTATAAGAACTATTCTTATACGAGAAAGGATCACAGTGGTGCATGGACACCAAGCCTTTTCAACATTTTGTCATGAATCTCTCATGCATGCGAGAACCATGGGATACAAGGTTGTGTTTACAGATCATTCGCTCTATGGTTTTGCTGATATCGGAAGCATCCACATGAATAAGGTGTTGCAGTTTACCTTGGCAGATGTGACTCAAGCCATATGTGTTTCTCATACAAGCAAGGAAAACACCGTGTTACGGTCAGGTTTGCCGCCAGAGAAAGTTTTTGTGATACCTAATGCTGTTGACACTTCCATGTTCAAGCCAGCAACTGATTGTCCAAGAACATCGAAAGAGATAGTTATTGTTGTTATCAGCCGGTTGGTTTATCGGAAGGGGGTTGATTTGCTTGTCGAAGTCATCCCAGAAGTATGCCGGTTACATCCCAATGTGAGTTGATAAAAGCATTGTTTGTTTGTTTTGCATGACTAGGAATGGATTGGAGTAATTTGCTTCTAATTTTACATTTTCAAAGGCATAATTTATATACACTTTTGAAGGTTCGTTTCATTGTTGGAGGTGATGGAGCTAAGCGCGTGCGGTTGGAAGAGATGAGAGAAAAGCATTCTCTACAAGACCGAGTAGAAATGTTGGGAGCTGTACCACATTCACAAGTCCGATCTGTTCTAATAAGTGGGCATATCTTCTTAAATAGGTTTAGCCCCTTTATCAAATTCTCTGCTCTTGTTAAAGCTTTGCAACAGCGAGTTTAAAATTCTTCTGCTTAATTACGAAAGTTAGGCAGTTCTAGAAGTTTGAGTTTAGTTTAATGATGAGATGTTAGGGCTCTTACGCCAGCGCCAGTTATGGTGCGCATCTAGTTTTAGTCATTAATAACATTTGTATTGTTTCAGTTCCTTAACAGAAGCTTTTTGCATAGCTATATTAGAGGCGGCTAGCTGTGGATTGTTAACAGTCAGCACACGTGTTGGTGGAGTTCCTGAGGTAGGTAGTGCACGGCAGATTTTGCTTTTATGCCTGTTCAGTCTATTTCCAATTCAACAATTTTGGAATGCTATCCTTAGAGGCTTGATATAGATGCAATTCTTTGCTATATAGGTTTTGCCAGATGACATGGTTGTTTTAGCAGAACCTGTTCCGAGTGATATGGTGTATGCAATACAAAAGGCCATATATATGCTGCCAAAAATTGATCCACAAGATATGCATAATCGAGTGAGTTAATTGTTCAAATCTTCGTTTCTGACACATTTGGTGGGTAAACTAGTGCTTTTTTTTGTTTGTTTACGTGTTCTATGTAGATGAGGGAGCTCTACGACTGGAACGATGTTGCCAAAAGAACTGAAATTGTGTATGACCGTGCTTTAAAGTGTTCCAATCAAAATCTACTAGAGCGTCTCTCACGGTACACTCTAAACATCATAGGTCATAGGTTCAATTTGGAAGTAATTGCTACTTCTACCAATGCTGATTTTCTCTTTTCTTTAGATACCTCGCATGTGGAGCGTGGGCAGGGAAGCTGTTTTGCTTGGTTATGATTGTTGGTTATCTGTTTTGGCAGCTATTGGAACTATGGCAGGTAGGCAGTTGTGTTGGATGTGTACGACACTTTCATTATGATTACATTTTGGTAACTGTGTTATTTGCGTATTTCCATTATTAGCCTGCAGATGATATTGAGGAGGTTCCCGATTTCACTCTTCCACACAACCGTGATGACGAGATATTAGAAAATGCACAATGATATCAATCGTGTGTTTTGGTGTACCACGAAGCTATGTTTTGCTCACTAATCTGAAATGCAGAAGAATACTTGCGGTGTTGTAACTCCATTCGGGTTCCAAGACCTTGAAAACGAGATAACTATTAGCGTATGTTTGGTTTACTGGCAGAAAACGAAAAAGCACGGTGAAAAGTCACGGTAGTGTAGAAGCTACCTTTTGTAGCTTTGGTTTTCACGGTGACATGCTTTCCAAACGTATCGGTGGTGGTGGAAAAAAGCTAAACCAAATACACGCTTAGTCCTTTGCATTGTTGGTCTTGGCACTTGCGTGTGTCTGAAATCGGAAGCTGGAAGTACTCTTATTGCAATATAAAGAACCAAGGTAAGCTATGTTAGTGTTAATGTCAATGTGTTTTAGCATTGCTTTTTTGAGCTTAGTCAGACACATTAATTTAGCCTGTAAATTAAGGTTCTGAATGTTTTTGTAGCATTCTTCTTAAATCTTACTAGTTGTTAATTTGAGATCGAATGATTTAATTGACAATTTCCTTAAATTAATTGTAGCTTATCTCAACTCAATCACCAATTCAGATCAATTACTGTGTCACATAGTAACTGCTGTCAATTTGCTGGGTTAAAATGACTTGATTCAGTTTTGTTTTTTTTAAGATGTCAGAATAATTGTAATCAAATTTGGTGCAATTCAAATAATCTGCCATAACTAATACAAGTAGAGAAAGTTTGGTCGAACTTTTTCTATTCCATTAAAAAAAACTTACCATCTTATGTAATAAAGATATTCCAATTATATATATATATATTCCACTTGCCACTAAGTTAGTCAATTTAGTGCAAACAGTACCTTTTGTTAAAAACTATTCTAAATAATTCTCTAAAATTAAATAATTAAGATCAAATCAGTCTCTCTAAATCCGGCCGCTTTTCTCTTTTCCTTCGCAGATCCAAACGTCCACTGCCATTGATGTAGTCTCTGGCCTCGGCAGTGCGATGTCCTTCTGGCCGTTCCACCTTCAATGGGGTTGGAACCACCTCTATTTTCGAGGCGGTTTTGGTTCAACAGTTCTTTGTTTGATCTCTTATGTCCGTTGTGATTGATTCTGGTGACAATTGGTCAGCCCCGTTATGGATCTCCACTGCAATTTTTTTGGATTTCGTTTGTTGGATCAGATGTTGCATGAGTTCTCCTTAACCATTTGCTTTTCTTTCGTTTCAAACCAAAGTAGGTGGTTATGATTGACTTATTATCGTAAAATTTTTAGTCTTATATTCCCTTTGACTTTATTTATAAGTAAAAGTCTTCTAAATTTTTTGCTTTTAAATATAAGTAAATGTCCACAAACCTAGATGTATTTAATATTTTAATTACAAAATTATCTCTACGTTAATTACTTAATATTATTAGTGGATGACTATTTAATTAAAGGTATATTACTAATTATATTACCTCTCTTATATAAAATCAAGAAAAATAAATGCATTCAATTGTCTTTCTTAATAAATGTGAAATTTGTCTTTTTTTACTTATAAATCAGGTCAGACTAGTATGCCTCATGTTTGGGGTCTTTTGATCGTTATATTTTTATCGTTAAATAGAACATAAAATTAAAGAAAATATCTTACCACACCCTATATAAGGAAAAAGACTTTAGGAAAATCCTAAAATGCTTTTGGCAAATCGAAAATGTATTTCCGATACGTATTTTTTTATCAAATAAAGGACTGTAAAATCAAGCTTCTCAAATGAACTTTTGTTTTGATGAAGACAAACTATGATTGACAAAGAAGGCAAAGATTTTTAATCAAGCTCAAGGCATCTATGGACAAAGTCTTCAGTTTAAGCTCTTAGCAAATTTCAAGGTATAATGATAATACTTACTTTGAACTTAAGACATAGACGCTCAATGGTGAAAAGAAATATTTTAAAAATCCTTACTCAAGTTTTTCTAAGTTAAAATTAATTTTTCACTTGAGTGCAATCGATTTGCATATTAGTGCAATCGATTGCATGCTTCAATTTTTCAGATCTTTTGCTACTGTTTCTCAGTGCAATCGATTTGCATATTAGTGCAATCAATTGCATGCTTAAAATTTTCAAAACGTTTGCTACTGTTTCTCAGTGCAATCGATTTACATTGCTTGTGCAATCGATTGCACTCAATTAAATTTTGGTACTGACTTCACATGCAATCGATTTACATTGCTTGTGCAATCGATTGCACTCAATTAAATTTTGGTACTGACTTCACATGCAATCGATTTACACTCTTGTGCAATTGATTGCACACTTAAATTTTTTGAAAATATAGCTGTTGAAACCCCGTGCAATCGATTTACACAAAGGGTGCAATCGATTGCATGCTGCACGATTTTGAAAAACAACAGCTTTGCACATGCCTGTTCATAATACCTTTTCATTGAAACCTTTCACTCAATCTTGGCAATTGTTCATGATTCATTTACAGAACTTTATGATGTTTCAAAAAGGTGCTATGAACATATAAATACTCATTTTCAAAATCATTTTCAACACCTCTTCCAAATATATTTTCTGAATTTTCAAAATACAAACTCAAGCTTTTCTTCACTTTCATACATCAGTTTTCTGCACACTTTCACATATTGTTAAACAGAAAACTTTGAGCATTATATCTTGAGTCATTGTACATTATTATCATTAGAAGAGAAGATCATTCATTCATTAAATCACTCTAAGTGATCATTACTACTCAACTTACTCAAAATCAAATATTGATAAATACTTACTTATTTTTTCAGGATTGTTGGAAATAAGTTTAAGTGATTTTTAAATCTTGTCTTTCCAAGATTGTTGGATACAAGTGTAGTCACTTTGAGAGGATTGTTCTCATTGTTGACATAGTGAAAATCCAAGAGGATTGTTCTTGGTCCAAGAGGATTATTCTTGGCTTTTTGGTAGTTCTTGTTTAAGTTTGCCACAATAAGGAAATCTCTTTCATGTTGAAAGGGGACTAGAGTACTCTCGGACTGTGAGGGGAACCAGGATATATCGCTCGTGTCTCTTTATTTTTTCTGCACTTTACTCTTTCATAAACTCACCATAATTCAGAAAAATAATATCCATCATCACTAAAACCAGAATTTTTTAAAGTACCTAATTCACCCCCCTCTTAGGCACACTTCGTACTTACAATTGGTATCAGAGCAGGTTATAGGTAACCTGCTCCTAAAAGATCCAGAATGGCTTCCGCAAATCAAAATCCCGTTTTCAGAGATGGTGGTAGTAACAACAAGCCTCCTCTATTTTGTGGTGAATATTTTGACTTCTGGAAAATACGCATGAAAGCACATCTAGAAGCACAAGGAGAAGAAATATGGGATGCCGTCGAGAATGGTCCATTTATCTCTATAACGATAATCAATGGTGCTGGCTCATCAAAGCCTAAAACTGCATGGGACGAAGATGATAAGAAGAAAGTTCTCTATGATGAAAAGGAAATAAACCTTCTTCAAGGTGCACTTAGCATGGATGAATTCTTCCGTGTCTCGGCATGCAAAACAACAAAATAAATATGGGATACCTTGGTAGAAGCTCATGAAGGAACGGTTGAAGTAAAAAGATCAATACTAAATACCCTGAGTCAGAATACGAATTATTTCGAATGCAGCCTGGAGAAACCATTCTTGACCTACAAAAGAGATTTGTGCACTTGAAAAATCATCTAAGTGCTCTTGGTAAGACTTTGACAAATGATGAACTAAATCTGAAAGTACTTAGGTCCTTAACTAGGTAATGGCAACCAAAGGTAACGGCAATCTCAGAAAAGAAAAGTCTTTCCTCCATGACATCGACAACATTGTTTGGGAAACTTCAAGAATATGAAACGAAACTCGGAAAAGCAGGTCGAACAATAGAGTATCTCTCTCCCAAAGTTTGGTCCCCGCAGAGTTATTATCCAGCATCTCTTCCTGGCAGAATATTCACCAATCTCCAGCAACCGTCAGGGATTTATTTTCCCAAACACGAGCATACCCCGACACCACTCCATGAACATACATCATGACATACACATACATATCATATACAGCACGGTCTAATTTATTTTGAGAACATCATCTCACCCTGCATTTCATGCATCGCATACAACTAACCTTAATATCTTTTGCAGGAAAAGACGATTAGCTTCAACGAATCCAGCAGTTATACAAATCACATCTACAGACAACTAATGGAAACTTAGTTCCTGAAATCAAACAGGTCAAATAATCTACATCATCAAACTTATAACCCTTCCCCGGTTCATCCTGAAGTTTTACACAAACTTATAACCCTACCTCGGTTCATCCTGAAGTTTCACACAAACTTATAACCTTACCCCGATTCATCCTGAAGTTTTACACAAACTTATAACCTTACCCCGGTTCATCCTGAAGTTTTACACAAACTTATAACCTTACCCCGGCTCATTCTGAAGTTTTACACAAACTTATAACCTTACCCCGATTCATTCTGAAGTTTTACACGAACTTATCACAAAGTAACCTCACCCAGGTTCCTTTTGAAGTTTTACACGAACTTATCACAAACTTATAACCCTACCCCGGTTCATCCTGAAGTTTCACACAAACTTGTAACCTTACCCCGGTTCATCCTGAAGTTTTACACAAACTTATAACCTTACCCCGGTTCATCCTGAAGTTTTATACAAACTTATAACCTTACCCCGGTTCATTCTGAAGTATTACACAAACTTATAACCTTACCCCGGTTCATTCTGAAGTTTTACACGAACTTATCATAAAGTAACCTCACCCAGGTTTCTTTTGAAGTTTTACACGAACTTATCACAAAATAACCTTGTCCCGGTTCCTCCTGAAGTTTTACACAAACTTATCACAAAGTAACCTTACCCCGGTTCCTCCTGAATTTTTACACGAACTTATCACAAACTTATAACCTTACCCCGGTTCATCTTGAAGTTTTACACAAACTTATAACCTTACCCCGGTTCATTCTGAAGTTT